GGTTACAAAATTCAAGGCTATTATTTTTACGTTATTCAAAAATGTAATAAATACTTTCAGAATATATATTAGATATTCCTCTATTTTGTTAATCACTCGCACCCCTTTCCCCATTGGCTCAGTCTTAAAGGTTATAACTCTAAAAATGTGATATAGATACCCGAGGTGAGCACAACACCTTGTGTAGCCTTGTACTTAATAACAAACTCAGAAAACAAAATTATCACTCATTTAATCTCGTAGTAAATATCTTATCCTGAAAAGTAACCTTACAGAGGCCACAAAAAGACCTACTCCGAAATACCTTCTTCTAGGCCCCCCAGTGGCACAGCGGTATGTCTGCGGACTTACAACGCTAGAAACCGGGTTTCGATACCAGCGGTGGGCAGAGCACATATTACCCATTGTGTAGTTTTGTGCTTAATTACAAACAAACAAAACCTTCTTCTAGAAGCCTTGAAGTCCTTTCTACGTAAGTTTGTTTTATTTAGGGAAATATTTCAAGTAAACTATAATTACATAAGCGTTACTTATAGACTCACTTTTAGTCAATAGCAGCTTCAATGCTTAGTGCGTGCACTTTACGTATTTTGTAGAGAAAAATTACAAGTCGAGAAAGATAAGTATTATTAAAATAATAATGCCTAAGTAATTTAATCGATGAAGTTAGAAACAAAGAACGACCTTAACTCTCTAGATAATAACTTTTTATTTCAGCCAACGTTTTGCCATTGCAGCTTCATCAGGGCTAGAAGTGCATGAATACTTGTATTACTAGCCCTAATGAAGCCGAATCAGCGAAACGTTGGTTGAAATATATATTTTTAATTATTATCTGAAGAGTAAAGGTCGTTCCCCAAATGTCTAAACTCTCCCCTATATGCACTACAAATTCGGAAAAATGCCGAGGTAAAAGCTTTCCAATCTATGATTTATATCTTACCACGTATCTGTCTGTATTCTAACAGAGAACGATTTTCATACCAATGTTATATATAAAGATCTTTGTATTTTGCAACGATGTATTTGTTCTTTGATTTCATTTCATGATTCCATTGCAAAATACAATAACACATGCATCTTTGAAAATATAAACGTAATCAGCCACCCTAACCTCCTATGCAACTTGGCTGATATTTCTCTAGTTATCTGCATTAACGTACATAAACATAATCATCCCTGTCTTGTTTTATCAACTATTATGATAAAATGTACATCATAATATTCAAAATTACTTTTTCTTTCTACACTAATTATAAAATGCAGTGAAAATTAAAATCCATAAATAAACTTTACGTTTTATTACAGTATCTTCCAACCCATATCTCACTCTAGTCTTTGGGGATTGACGGTAAATTGCAAAAAAACTAAGTAAAAAAAATCACCAATGTGACTAGTAAAGTGTTTTTAGTACAGAGTTAAAGTAACTTTCACCACACGTCAACAAGTACTACATATTTTATGTACACTTTTCGTAAATATTAAGTAAAGATCTTTACTTCAAATCATCTCTAAATACTTTTGAACAGAATCAACAAATGGTATAATACATGTTTTATGTGTGAAATCGTACATTCTCAGTCATTTTGCTATTGCTGGAATAAACTTTAATGAATTGTGTTATTTTAATTATAACTACAAATTTTTAGTTAAATAACGCAAGAAGTGAAATAAAAGTTACTCCTTCGGCACAAAATTTCCGAGTTTTACAACTTCTTTTATGGCCTTTCGACTGATTCTGGAATGGATTCAGACACTTACCACCTCCCAGTGGCACAGCGGTATATCTGCGGACTTACAACGCTAGAAACCCGGTTTCGATACCCGTGGTGGGCAGAGCTCAGATTGCCCTTTGTGTAGCTTTGTGCTTAATTACAAACAAAAAAAGACACTTACCACTAACACACCACAACACCAGTATTAGACCCTGTACTTGGTACATGACGAAGGTCTTAGAGAACAGACCACAGTTCCAAATGAAGACCCGTCAGGACACAGAGATGAATGAGCACATTACTACACAGCTGGAAGAAGGAAGCGTTCCCGCTGCCGCGAGAAACCGAAAACGAAAACCGACGACGGAAGGTGATCCGCCAGTTTTACTAAAGTAGATGTGAGAACACACACTGGCGCCACGAGTGGCAATTTGGTGTTCAATAAAATTGATTCGTTGAGCAATCAGAAGTGGCTATAAAATCTTTTTGTTTGATAGGAAATGACGCTGGGCTACGATTGAAGCCCATTTGAAAATAACATATAACTAAATAAAAAAAAAAGCGTATACATAACAGATGCTTTATAAATAAGGACCAGCGAACAATGAAAAACATGCTTTAACGATTTCTAGCACAGCCTTATAGAAACTGTCCTTATATAACAGCAGCTTCGCCTATCGAGAAGTATCTACGAGTCTTGTCACAGATTTTGAAAGAGTGAAAACATGGATCCATTATAATGTATGTAAACATGTTATAATGCATGGACAGATTCATGTTTTCGCTCATTTGGATAACATTAGAAACATTATACATAAAAACTCTTCTCCCGTCCCTAAATAACACATAGTTTTCACTGGATTTAAACCTATTTTAATCATTTCACTTGTGGCTCAGTTTTCATTTTTTTTTTCGTGTTATATTTGTATATTCGATTTGCTTGTTTTGTAAGCCTAGATTACTGATGATGGAATTATGACGATTCCGAAACGTCTAATAAATGCTTCCTGTTATTACGTTCGTGTTTTATCATTAAGCTACGTTTTCCGAAAAAATGAGTCCATTAATAGTGAGTTCGTTTGAATACGAAAATTTTATTCTAAATCGTATAGAGTTAATCGGGGTTTGGATAACATAGATATTAGATACAAAAGAATAACATTTTACAGGAGCTACAATTAATATAGACTCATGCGTTTTTCTCTTCTTTTTCTTTTCAAAGAACATAATTCTTTAAAAAAAATATTAAATCATTCAGTCTTAGCGATGTCCCTGCCTTGCATAATGTTATGTAAAAAAAAAGAACATTGTATAAAACCAACTATGTTCGAATGATAAGACCGTCTTAGTTATTAGCACAAACCATAACATTGTTAACATGTCTTTAGTAATCGTATTGATTATTGAGCTCTCAATATTTACATTCCCCTAGTGTTATAGAGGTATTATAATGCTAAAATTAGGGTTCTACCCCTGTGGTAGAGCGCAAATAGCCAATTGTGCAGCCTTACGTTTAAACGAAATCAAATGAACCAAATTATGAATTTAATAAAAACTTTTTGTCTACGATCTACAAATGCATTTGGAGAAAACTCTTCGCTATTTTGTCTCCATGTGAAGCCCTCCAGTGGCTAAAATCGGGTATCGATACCTGGAATGGGCAAAGCACAACTAGCTTATTGTACAGCTTTGTGCTTAACAATAACTAAATCAAGTCTATGTGGACATTTCTTGTCAGCCTGTTTCTCCATACATGCGTCTATCAGATACAATAATAAGTGATAATTTTACTGTTACGGTAAATACCACTCGGGATTGTTTTGTAAGCTTGTTATTTTTTCTAGAATATGCTCGTACAATACTAAAAAACGAATAGCCGCAGAAAAATAAATAGTAAGCTCCTTGTTGATTAAGTCTAATTAGACAGTAATGAATGTATGATGTTATGAATTTAACAATTTTTTCTGAAGCCCTGTTTTATTAAAAACAAGCATATCGTAAGCATTGGACTCTGTGTGACAGATTTTCAATATAAATGATTTATTTTTAAAATACTAGAAATCATTATATTCCAATAGTAAATAAAATATGGAAATTTTTAAAAGAGGTTTTTTTATGTCTAGAAGACGATAACAGGAAGAACTTTTCTGATGAATATAACATTGTGGTGTACAAGGTTGTTATATGTAATATATAGAACTTTTTGATGAATATAACATTGTGGTGTACAACATTGTTATATGTAATATATATAGAATATATAGACCTTTTTTGATGAATATAACATTGTGGTGTACAACATTGTTATATGTAATATATAGAACGTTTCTAATGAGTATAACATTGTGGTGTAAAACATTGTTATATGTAATATATATAGAATATATAGAACTTTTTTGATGAATATAACATTGTGGTGTACAACATTGTTATATGTAATATATAGAACTTTTCTAATGAATATAACATTGTGGTGTACAACATTGTTATATGTAATATATATAGAACTTTTCTAATGAATATAACATTGTGGTATACAACATTGTTATATGTAATATATATAGAACTTTTCTAATGAATATAACATTGTGGTGTACAACATTGTTATATGTAATATATATAGAACTTTTCTAATGAATATAACATTGTGGTGTACAACATTGTTATATGTAATATATAGAACTTTTCTGATGAATATAACATTGTGGTGTACAACTTTATTATATGTAATATATAGAACTTTTCTGATGAATATAACATTGTGGTATACTTGAATGTAGATGCATTACTTTTAAGGGTTTAGGTCACGTGATGTTCGAGCATTTTCAGCATTAACTACAGTTCAGTCTGTATGGCAAACACATAAAGATAATGTTCCTTGTTTGTTAGAAATGAAAAAGATAACGTTCTTTATTTGTAGCAACATTTAGCAACATTAAATGAGAACGCTTTTTATGAGTAGCAACATGATATAAAAATTGGTTTTTACTTCTAATATCATAAAAAGATAATGTATTTTATTTATAGCAACATAAAAGTATTGTTGGTTACTTATAATAACATGACAACGATAACGTTATTCATATGTAGCATCATGAGAAAAGAAAATATTCTTTATTTGTAGCATTATGAAAAATATAATATTTTTCATTTTAACAGCGTGAAAAGGTAATGATCCTTATATGTGGGAACATGAAAAAAAATAATATTTTTTATTTATAGAATCGTGAAGGAGGTAATATTCATTATTTGCAACATTATAAAAAAAAGAAAACATTTTTGCTTCCAACAACACGAAAAGATAATGTTCTTTATTCATAGCAACATGAAAAACATAATATTACTTATTTATGCAATATGAGAAATTATAATGTTCTTTATTCGCAGCAACATGAAAAACATAATATTAGTTATTTATGCAATATGAGAAAATATAATGTTCTTTATTTGCAGCAACATGAAAAATATAATATTAGTTATTTATGCAATATGAGAAATTATAATGTTCTTTATTCGCGGCAACATGAAAAACATAATATTAGTTATTTGTGAAACATGATAAAAGATAATGTTCTTTATTCGTGGCAACATGAAAAACATAATATTAGTTATTTATGCAATATGAGAAAAGATATAATGTTCTTTATTCGTGGCAACATGAAAAACATAATATTAGTTATTTATGCAATATGAGAAAATATAATGTTCTTTATTCGCAGCAACATGAAAAAAAGATAATATTATTTATTTGTAGCAACATGAAAAATATAATGTTCTTTATTTGTGCAACATGAAGAAAGATCGTGTTCTTTATCTGATTAGCAGCTCTAAAATGGAAATGACTATATCTGAATTCCATAGAGTACTCTGACTTGGCCTTTTGGTCAACCTGTTGTATGGGTGCCTTTCGTATTGAAAATACCAAATACCAAAATTATCCATTATATAAAGCTTGTGTTGCTGTGAAGTAATAATTACCATCGTTATCAAAACTCACTCACCACATGTCAATTATTTTTTTCTCTTTCAAGTTGACTAAAAGGCTGATACTTATCAACTGATTTAAGTTTGTGTTACTAGGCAGTAATGATTACAATTACACAGTTGTATTCTTAAAAGCCTCATACCAAACCCCAACGTTGGTATACTTTTGTTTCTTTTCTGCTTTAGTTTGATGGTTTCATCTACTATGCGTGAAATTTTATTTTATTTTCTCGCTGAAATAGTTTGCAATCCAGAGGCTATTACGTTTAGCACAAAACGACATGAACAAAATTTAGAAAATACAAATACTAAAGTTTAATATTTGCTGTCTATTGTATTCTTCAATGTACGATGAATGTCCAAAAACCCAGACTTCCACCAGTCATTTAGAATTGTTGGAATGTCTCTGCAAATGAGACTAATGGAGGATAAAACAATACTAGTGTTCGTGCACTAATTTCACCTTCGTCCAGCATAAACAAAGTAGCGTCTAAAATGTAATATTTTTTCTTTGAAGTATGGATCACTGAAAGACATTTCATATAAAAAAATGAGATTTATACTTCCACTCCTTTGATAACTATTAACCCTCGTTTTGTGTGAAAATTACACGGAACACGATTCACATAATATGCTGGTAACATAAAATCTCTTGAAAATTCGCAAATAAGAACCTACTCTTTGTAAAGTATACTAAGATTAGACAGAAAAGACAGGAAGCATTCCGATTTAGGCTTCAGTCACAGGAACGAAGAGCAACAAATGTATTACGCCTGTCATCTAAGTGAGCTGTTAGACTAGTAGTGTTTCATCAAGCGACAGTTAAAGCCCTGAAACTGACTTATAGCTAGTGAAAGCTATCAGTGCTGCGGGAGTCCATTTAAACCCAATTTAACGATAATAATTCAAGAAATGTAACCTTCAGAACCATTATTTTTTTTTAGTATACGGGTTAAAAAACAAGAATTTGGGGAATACATAAATTTCAAAAGTGTTTGTATACAATCAATACTAAAAGTTTGAAGTTGGCTCATTCTTAAAGAGGAAGAGAGCAGGTAGGAACATGTAATACGGTAACAATATTAACCTATAATCTATATTGAAAAACAGTTTTAAAAACAAATCTTCAGACAAACTTTTTATATATAGCAAGAAGTCTTTAGAAGGACATTATCTTAAAAGCAAAATAAAAGTTGCAGAGAAACATCGAGAACAGGAAATGATAAACAACGCAACTGTTAAAACATGGATGAACCAATACAAAACAATCGCCCCACTGTTGTTTTCTTGTAGAACAGCTTTCGTTAGTTTACGACTATTTTTCAGTCATAATAATTGTTTGATGAATTAAACTCAGAAAAAAACAACATGAAATATCGCAAGAGTCATGTTAATTTAACATTTAAAGAAAAAG